AAGTTAATTATAAATATAAATGTACATAGTTATGTTTTAGTAGTTTTTGAATAAATAAAAATATAGTCAATGGCATTATTAGGTGTTTTTTTATTATTTGGTAAATACCTACATCATAATCAGTTTCCAATGCTACAAACATGAATGCTAGATATCTTTATCAATTTTGTAAGGCCGACCTTATATTATACATCGCAATAATTAATATGGAAAAGAATATCAATATATTACAAAATAATCTAAATTTATCTAAGGTTTACAAATCGTCACCAAACCCTTCATTATAAAAGCTCTTGGCCCAATTAAGTACTCACGTTAGGAAAGTAAGGCCGACGAGGTCAGTCAGTATGAGTGGTGTTCAGTACAGGTCACGAAAATAGCCAAAAATATGATTAATGATTTTAATATACAGTTTTTACGTCGTTACCTTAACGCAATAATGAATAAGAATCATCTAGTAAATTTATAGAGAACTTTTAATTAATTACATATATATGTGTGTGTGTTTATATGTTTATTTTATATTTTACACGCCTTATATAAACCTCTAGGTCCAATTAAAGCCAACTATATTGTCATTGTCTCTCAGTCAGTTATTCACGTATGAAATGGTTACCATATAAGATTATACAATTATCAATTTTCCGCAAAATTAATTAAAACAATATAACAAAAAACTATAATTTAGTTAAATTTTTACTTAACAGGAAAATGCAAATACTTAAAAGTAATTTATTTAGTGCATTCGTAGAACAAAATCATTAGTTAAAATTACACTTTACGAGATGTTAGATGACGATCACTGAACATTGAATATGATTAATGTTAGCCGTGTATGCTCTAATCAAGTGACGAGTGCAGTATAATTTTCACAGGTAAGAATTATGTTTATTGGTATACTACAGTATTTATTACTATGTCCATGATTAATATAATAAATAATTATACTCGGAGAGTATAATGTGGTTCAATCATTCGTTCTGTATATTTAATTTAAACTCTTTCGAGAATCTATGTAATTACTTACTAGAAAGATAAAATTTATTAATTCTATACATAAAACTTATTAGATGTCGAACGTATCCAAAACTTATTAATAGAATCAATACATATTTATTGAAGCTTTAATCTAAAGTTTCGTAATGGAACTTGTCACTCGAAGTGTGTGCGCTTGTTGCTCGATGATATTTATTTCCCTTGACTTTTAAAACAGAAAACACTAACAACAAGACATTAAAGTGGAACATGGTGACGCCTTTTATTGCCAAATCAAAGAACAAACAAAAATATTAACAATTTACATATGCCATAATGTTATTGTTCATCCGTGGTATACCTCCAATCACTTGTGTACTTTAACTATTCAGGGTAACCATATAAATAAAATCATTTTTCTTATTTTGTTTCTTAGTAGGTACTTAAATGTAGAACATAAATCTGTCTGTCTGTTACCGCATCACAGAAAAAACACTGGAGGGATTTTGATGGAATTTGGTATGGTGATAGCTGGTTATCCGGGTCAACATAAAGGATACTTTTTACCGCGGGAAAATGTCATTTCTGAGAAAATATACAAAAGCTGCAATGTAAGAGTATACTAATATGTAAAACCTAAGAATTTGGTTTTTGCTAGTAATCTATATTTATAAAGTCAATGAAGTGGTATTTACTTTTAACTTATTCGTTCTGCGTTTACAACGGAAATACAAAAATAAGAACATATAATAGAAAATATCTAAACATTTTATTTTCTTGGCACAAGCAAAAACAATTTATATTTGATTGCCAGCACATTATTCTGATATATATAATTACAATGTCAATAAACTGTTACTGTTTTACCTATTGATTATATCCACTTCCATTAGTGAAAAGTGGTAGAGTACTATGGTCGTATGTCAAGGTTTACTAATCCATCTATTTTGCATATTGGCCTTTTAATGATATTGAACGGAACATGTGTAATACATTTAACACATGAACGAGTACAGGTCCGCGACCGCGTGGGAAAGGCCGGACGTTGATTAAATTGTCTTATGTTATGATATTAATAAATGGATTTTATTAGTGGATTTGTTTATAGGTCGCGAAATAAGAAACTATTCTAATTATTTTCTATTTAATATATTCACGTTTTTTAAAAATGATTAATTATTTTTTAATATAAAATATAGTTTGATTTTCCTAACTTCTCAACTCTCAAAATAAGTAAACAGTTATAAGAAAACTGCAATAGGTATATTTAGTGTAATAGAAATGTATGACGTAATTAATATATTTTTAAATGGTTTTCATAAAGCTTTAAGTAAATACATGATGATGAGTACATAAATACACACGAGAAACAACAATAGATTATAAATATATCGGGACAACAATGCCATCGTGAGCGCGTCAGTTAGAAAGGCCCTTCACGCTGGATCGCACAAGAAAAAGGCACAATAGCGATGTCGATTTCTTTGTGGCACTACCTTACGTATTAAACTTGTAATTCGAAGTATTACTGATTAAAGAGTTCTTACAAGCCAAGAATTTTATTATCGGGCCACTATTATAAATTTAAAAATTTGTGTGTGTGTTTATGTGTACTTATATGTTTGTCACTTGTGCACGCTAGAACGGCTCGAAAGATTTGTATGAAATTTACTATACAGATAGATTACAACCTGGAGGAACACATAGAGGTAGACTAAGGGCGCACCCAAACATAGTAAGGGTAATTCGATAGTTTGCAATATAATATTATAAAAATGGTATAAATTACTTTAAAAGTTTATTTATTTATGTCTAAAACCGGATGTTATTACGTATTGTTCGTCACTAATTAAAAAAATCGTGCTAATTTAATTAATTGTTTTGTTATATGTACATATTTTGCGTATCAATAAGGCTGATTAGCCGTTAAGTGAACAGTAAATATAGAATTGTTCAGGGTCACAAAACGTATAATATTCAAATTTGATTTACTCGTCCTGATGCAAATTTCGCGTACACAAGTGTAACCTGTAATTAATTACAGATGCTGGTTCTCCCTTGATTAGAGAAAAGTAATGATACCTGCATTATGAAAAATAGAGAAATAGTTCACTTTTTTATTTATTAACTAGCATTGCCCGCGGCTCCGCCCGCGTTCAGATGACCAAAAAGCAAATTCTTAGGTTTTACATATTAGTATTCTCTTCCATTGTAGTTTTTGTATTTTTTCTCAGATATGATATATTTTCCCGCGGTAAAAAATATTCTATATGTTGATCCGGATAACCAGCTATCATCATACCAAATTTCATTAAAATCTGTCCTGTGGTTTTCTGTGATGCGGTAACAGACAGACAAAAATTCAAAAACTATAGATTCGGACTCTGTATCGATAATAATGTCTATTTCGATTAGATTTTCCAAAAAGTATTTAATGTACAGATTCGACTTAGTTACAATATTATTGTATGTATAGATTAGTGTAACTCTCAAAGTAAATAATGCACAAAAATTAAAAATTTCGCCTCAATGCTCCATTTTATTAAAATTTCGAGTAATTGACGCACTGTCATGCATGTTACGGTTGGTACGGGACAAGATTTGTCACAATGTATGTAACATTGTGACAGAGTTACGTGCGTACGTTTGTATGTACTGCGTTTTATAAATATATCGTAGTAAGTTACAAAGAAATACAGTCCAAAAACCTTACATACTCGTACATAATTTGAATCCCCACATAACTATAATTCCGCATAATATGTATTTAAAGTAAACTAGTTCATGAATTTCATTAACATTAAATGTAATATATGCATTGAAGTTAATGTACTATGTTCATATACGAGAAGCTACATTTCAAATACTTAATAGGTTTTATTTTTAGCTTTATTATGTGTTATATGAAGAGTTATATAAAATTATCTATCTACAGAACACATGTTTCATTGTTTATAAAATATTAAATTTAATGTTAATTATTCAATTTTTAGATCATTTTTAAAATTGTTTAATTATTTAGGTACGTTTTAACGGTTAGTATGAAATAGAAATCTTTAAGTTTCTCGGTTATTCTGTACTATAATATGCATGTATTTTACATATAAACCACCTTCCTCTTGAATCACTCTATCTTTTAAAAAAACCGCATCAAAATCCGTTGCGTAGTTTTAAAGGTCTAATAAGCATACATAGGGACAAACAGACAGCGGGAAGTGACTTTGTTTTATACGATGTAGTGATGTAGAATTAATAACTAATCCATACTAATATTATAAATGTGAAAGTTTGTGAGGATGTATGGGTGTCTAGATGTCTAGACGTATAATAGATGTATAGATGTTTGTTACTCTTTCACGCAAAAACTACTGAATGGATTTTAATGAAACTTTACAATAATATAGCTTATACATCAGAATAACACATACATAGGCTACTCTTTACACCCGAAAAAATGTACGGTTCCTGTGGGATAGATTTGTTTTTGACTTTCTAGAGGCAAACTCGAGCTAAGCGAGGGTGAGCCGCTAGTTGATAATAAATCCTTAACTAAGAATATTTAATAAAAAAAAATATAAAATAAAAAGTCCACATTTTATCTAATATATCTAAAAATTAACTTATTTCATTTTCTTTATACCCGGCTGTTTTGGCAGTAATTTTGTCTGCCCAACCATTTACAACGTACATAATATGTTATAGCGGCATAATTATAATACGAGTTTATAAAATATAAATGCCAATGTGTTATAAAAAGTAGGCGTTACAAGCGACTTCCCCTCGCTTCACTCAGATACGTCTCTAGGTGCCAGTAGCTAGCTATGTGTTACTCCAGGTCAAAGTGTACCTATGTACTAAATGTCATACAAATCATTACAGCGAGAAGGAGTAACATACATATATACATACATATGTACATACATATACAAACTTTCGCATTGATAATAGTGGTCCAATGTTAGATCGGCACTATTATAATACGAGTACTTTGCCTAATACATAATTTATATTGAAATGTCACATACCTGCACAATAGAGCCAACAAGTAGACCGAAGCACAATGCGATGCTAGTGGTTTGTGGCGCATTGCTCTCACTGATGGCGATGCACGATGCGACGCCGATGGAAGTGAGAAGGAAGGTGCCCACCAGCTCCGCGGTCAACTGCCGCCAGATCAACTTGTTGTCTGTCACGTCTGACAAACCGAGAATCGAACTTGTTCCTGTCACCAAAATATAACCCTTATCATACATATTTTATTATTATTCTTCTACGAGTCTTTAGAGCTTTATTCTGAGATCGTCTTAATGTTTTGTACACTTTTAAACTAATACACAGCCCTTGTTATTCACCGGTTATGAAGAGTAGCGTAGATTTTTATCTATCAAATATGTACGTCAAATGATTCCCATTTGAATGAAAGAAATAGAATATTTCAAAAAAATACTTATTTTCTACTAAAAACTATATTATTTTATTACATTTTAACTGTTATATCATAATAAGCAATGAGTTTATTCCCCCTAAGGCGGCGGGCCACGTTTGTATTCATCCGTCGAGAATGCCATGTAGGAGCTCTTCTTGTTTTGTTAAGGACAAAGTATCCTTTTAAGACATATTAATTTGGTCATGTAAACAAGATCAAATATTTGAATCTTATTAAGATTTATAGAGTTTATCATGTTTACGGTAAAATACAAGTCTTTATCTATACATATAATAAAATTCTAACTAAGTCGAATCTGTACATTAAATATTTTTTGGAAAATCTTATTGAAATAGTCATTATTATTGATACAGAGGCCAAATCTACAGTTTTTAGAATTTTTGTCTGTCTGTCTGTCTGTCTGTCTGTTACCGCATCACAGAAAAACCACTGGAGGGATTTTGATGAAATTTGGTATGGTGATAGCTAGTTATCCGGGTCAACATATAGGATACTTCTTACCGCGGGAAAATATCTCATTTCTGAGAAAAAATGCGAAAACTGCAATGTTAGAGTATACTAATCTGTAAAACCTGAGATTTGGTTTTTGGTCATCTGAACGTGAGCGGAGCCGCGGGCAATGCTAGTCTATACATATAATAAAATTTTAACTGATCGCTCTTTGTAAACGGAAGATATTTGAGAAAAAATATTATTGGGGTCTTTATTAACGCAATAATTTTTAAATGTTTTGTCTGTTTGCCGGTGTGCTTGTGCGCGTTAACCTCAGAAACGGCTTAACCGATTTGGGTGCGGTTATTCACTAATGTATTGTGGTAAGCTTCACTTAACATTTAGCATTTGTTTTATTCAAATCGATTCATAAATAAAAAAGTTATATCAATTTAAAGAATCACCTAGGGATGGACCCGAGCAAAGCGAGATAGTCTCTAGTATATCATAAAGAAATGAAACCGTAAGCTAAAACAAACGATTAATGTGGTATGCCTTTAAAGCATGATTAAATAATATACATAATTATCATAAATTTATAAATAAATAAATAAATATGTTGGGACACTAACACACAGCACCATCTAGTTCTATGGTAAGCTACGAGGCTTATGTTATGGATACCAGATAGTTGATACACTACACATATTATATAACTTTAAATACATACATATTATAAATACAAATACCCATGACTAGAGAACAAACAATCGTGTTCATCACACAAATGAATGCCCCCAGCGGGACTCGAACCTGCGACCGCTGGCACAGCAAGTAGGGTCACTACAAACTGAGCTAAACGTGTCGTCGATTTATGTTATTCTAATATTATTTAAAAAAAAATACCTCAAACAATAACTTGTTCAACTGAGTATTTTTTCAAATCGTTAAGTATTAGGTTAACTGTACAAATACGACACGTAGCTCAGAAACAATGTCAAGAATTCTGTTTAAATAATAAGAAATGTGGTTGATACTTGCAACATAGCAAGTTGATAACATGCACACATTGAAAACCCTGTTTAATATATTTATTATTGTTATAAAAAAATATATTATGTTATATTAAAAAAAGAATGATTTTTTAAAACAAACTATTTACACAAAGATTAATTTGGATGACAAATATAGATAGATTTGCATGCAAATAAATTACAACAACTAATAAAGATACTAAGAAAGATAAAAAAGATGTATCGAGAAAAATAGGCAGAAAAAGTTATGGAAACAAAATTGCGCTTAAACAGATATATCAAAAAGCAATTATATTACCATTAGAAATATCGTTGTAAGTAATATTTTTGTTTATAAACAATCGATATAAAATGAATACCGGATAAACATAAATTATATTATACATAATTCGTTCCATAAAATATTTTTGTACACACTTATCGAATAAAATGTCTTCCTGCGGAAGCCGACTTTTCCTTTAATTGCAAAGATTGTATGTATAAGATATAGATAAGGATGAAAGTATTTAATCTATATATATAAAACAAAGTCGTGTTAGTTACACCATTTATAATTCAAGAACGGCTGGACTAATTTTTATAATATTTGATGTTTTGGTTTTCTCTAAGTTCGGAATAGGATAATAAGTATTAAAACATCAGAAAAATTAACAAAAAAAATTATATGGCTAACGCTGCTTGATAAATATTTATATCTATTTTAAACAAATCAAAGTCGAAATTAATTTAGTTTATTAAAAGTTGTAATCTTTTAATTTTTTGTTTCTAAACGGCCAAATTATAACAGCTTGTTTACAACACTATTATCACTATTGTGTAATAATGTATTTTTTACAACAATTTATTATTTTTCCTAATTTGATCTTCCGAGTGATTATAACAGCATATAATTGTAATATTCACATAAATACAAGTGCATAATTGCAAATATTTTTAAATAATAACGTTTTCAGAGAGCTCATAATATTACACTTAAATTGTAGCGATAAGATTTATAATTTAATTTCTTATGCTAGTATAAAAATGTATTTTTTGTAAGGTACACCGTAAAGTTGGAAGTATCTCTCAATATTTACATGTATCCATAGAGAAACAAACGTTGCCGGACATAAATTATATTTCATAGAAAATATTGGAAATAAATAAAGGCTGCGTCCGCATTTATAACAGAAAACTTACTCTTGTGCATTTCATCCATTGGATAATCCGACTTCATTTTATACACTTTTCGTCCGATTAGCACCTAACACCGCACCGTTGCGACAGATATAGAAATACCAGAATTACCACAAGTTATTTAATTTATAATTGAAAATTCCTTCTGAATTGTTTGGAGAGTTCGCTCGAAGATTGTAGCGTGCCGCACTACCTTTCTGTAAGGCTTCATACACCTGAATGTGCTGAGTGCGGATGACAGCGGACCAGCGAAATACAGCCGACTTTTTATTCCGACTCCGTCTTGTGATGTTTATAAATTAATCTTTTATTTGATATTCATCTGACGCCGTTTCACATATGCGAGGTGTACGCAAATGATACCGCTGTTCGCGATTTTAGACTATAACCTCCTTTAACGTTTTAGTAATTTACGTAAGCAGTACGGAAACAGTGTCTTAAAAAAAGACTAAAATCTCTTCTTCAGATGTACACCAAATAGATGCAGTTAAATTATATATTTTTTTATACAATCTGAATATTTATTCTATTGTCCTACATTTCTACCGCATTTTCTAATTCAAGTAGTGTTTTAATTTTAAAGAAGCGTCGATACAATATTAATACGAGGAAGCTTAGTAAAAAATATTATATACATACTTATAATACGCATACGTACATTATCCTGTTCTATTTAAGTTCTAGGACTAATATTCCCATTACAAATAAAATGCTTCACAAGCAGAAAGCCTGTTGGATCTAAAAATAGAATTATCCTTAGGGTAAGAAGTTAATGTTACGAGAACGTCTTCGACTCTTTTTATTTCCATACTGGTTTTTGCACTGACCTGGAGATCAGAAGGCTTATTTCTAGTTTTTTACCTTTAATTCTAACATACATAAATCAGTTAATATTATCAGTTGACAACATAATAGTCTCAGTCTAGCAATTTAATTTAAATTATTAAGATTTTTTATTTATGTACAAAGTTACTTTATGGAAAATACCACGGAACTTGATTATAATCACAATAAAATGTTTTAGAGCAATGTAGTGATTTATTGAAACACTTTTTAAGTCTTACTAAATAATTAACATATTTATCTTTTAAGCAAATTAACTTCTTTTATTAGTGAACATTCGTGAAAGATATTATTTCTCCAACTTATATACCTACCTAACTTTAAGAGATGAGTTTAAAAAATGATTTTTTATCGGTTATCTATATTGTTATAGGAAAACGCTATCAAAATTAAGTTCGATCAGCGATTTGGTCTGTGTAATACTAAAAAGTCAGCAACATCCAAACCTATTTAATATTTGTAGGGTTATTTACTTTATATCCTTACAGTTGCAAAATAAATAGTATCTTTATGCATACTTACTTAATATTATAAATGTGAAAGTGTGTTAGTTTGTCCGTCTTTCACGTCAAAGCGGAGTGGTGGATTGGCGTGTTTTTTGTGTGGAGATTGTTGGAGGGCTGAATAAAGACATAAGCTACTTTTTACCGCGGGAGATGATCTCCTTCAAACGGGAAAACACATTATAATTACTTGAAACTTGGTATCAATGCTCTTCAATACAATTAAATAAATATGTGTTATAGCATTTTTGGAAATTCATCCCATAAAGGGGTAAAATTGGGGATGAAAGTTTGTATGAAATCTACCTTTTTATAGAGTTTTTTTTATAGTTTTAGCGCGAGTGAAGCCGCGGGTTCTACTAGTTGTATAATAGAGTAAAAATAAATTAAAGTTGAATAACAGTAGAATTTATAATGCAAATTTTTGAATAAAAATATGAAATTGGTACTAATGTACCCAATACAAAGGTAAAAAGATTAACCTCTTTGGCATAGAATCAAACTTTTCTTAGCCAAATGGCTTTCCGGGTTTTGAACCTCAATAACACAAACAAGCTTGTTGTGTGCAGAATTTTAATTTTCAGTAAATATCATCTTATGTAATTTACTTAATATTTGTTAAAAAAATCAATATATTTATATAAGTAGCGAATGAACCATTAACCTAAAATAATCATATAATATAATAAAATAATAAATGCACAACTGCCAATAAATATTTGATCTGGTTATGTCCTTCTCCGTGTCAACGGACAACGTATTAAGAATTAAGAAGTGGTTTTTTTCT